CACCGAAGTGCGGCGGATCCAGTTGCCACGACTCACACCGTAAGAAAAACAAGAAATAACAAATGTATGACAGCGGTATGGCAGAGGAAAGAAACCGAATGTAGGAACGCCACTGACTGTGCCATGTCTGACACGGTCTCCAATCAATGGTGTGGGCCGTCCCATGGTCCCCATACGCAAAGACAGCATGCAACAGCCTGGCCAAGTCCCTCTGTCAATTTTTTAATGCCACGAGGCTGCGTACTAGACTGACCACCTCGCGGTTTCATCCACCTTGATGCAGCCGCGGCGTATAATGCATGCTGAGTAAGACGATCAACGGGAATACGCAGAACATGGCTTAGCCAAGACAAACGGCTAAGATTTAGCAAACACTCGAGTTAGGAACTAGGCTTCGTACCGAAAACCAACTGGCGGACCTCAGCATTTTTCACCCGGTGTTCCCATCAGACGATAGCAAACGTTGCAAGCACCGGTGGTCAAACATGGTCAAGCGTTTAATGTCTTCACTACGAACAGGCCAAGTCTCTGATCCATACAGTAAGACTGGCCTTACCGCAGAGTGATACACCGTATCTTTCACTGACAGACTGATATCCCGCCGTCTCCATAGATGGTTCAGTCTGGAAAGTCTCACGGGCTTTGATGATACGAGAAGACCACTGTCGTGTAGCCCTCCGGGAAGCAAGAAGACTAAGCCATGATCACGAAGTCCTTTATTAAGATTGCACTCGGATATTTGTAGAGTGTATACACTATTTACAACCGTCCGTTTCAATGGCTCATCCTTGTTATTTGCATTGTGTCGCTGGCTACCTTTCCATTTGTTTACGCTTGCTCATTACATTCACTCTGTCTAAAATCACCTTGAATTTCTTAGTGAATGTACGATTGACGGGATTGGGCCCGCGCGCTTCTTCTCTCGGTCCAATGCCACAAGCCTTGGCTCAAAGGTGCACGAGTATGCGCTCCTTCGCTTGCTGGCGCCTGATTGGTCACTTGCACGTTCAGTGGATAGCTGCAGGGTGGAGGCGATTACGGGCAACTATTTCCGAATTGGCAGACCAATCTACTTCCGGCAACATGCTCACACCTTGTCGGTCTGGCATGTGACGTTCGATCAGCATTATACCATTTGCAATCCCCATCATTTCCAGCCCCCATCATAACCACCAGTGGTGACACAGTTAACAAGGCAAGTGAACCGATTCTCCACTCCCATTGGCTGTTCGAAGATAGCTAAAACCGGAGATATGTCTGTCCAGCTCTGCAACAGCACTTTGCGGGTGCAAACGTAAGTATGAACTAAACTCTGACCGTACGAACAACGGTGAGCGTCTGCTGCAACTATGAGAAGAGCACCGTCTGTTTCTCAGTAGCACCGCTTTTAGACACCGTGGGTACCAAAGTGTCATGTGACGTTCATTTATAGCGGAACAGCGATAGACAAAACTGATCACATTGCCATAAATTACAGGTAGCGTGGTTTCATCTTGAATAGTCGCTCATTCTGGAACACTAACGTCGACTCTGACCATTTCTTGGTACCGTCGTTTTCCTATGAACTTTACCGGGAGGAGTACTAAGTGCCTCGGTCGAATGGCAACTGAGTAGTTATCTCAGTCCCCGGTCAAGCAATCCTACCAGGATGCGTACCGAAATTTCGCCCTCTCAATCGAATGACAGAGCTTCGGGGGAGCCCTCGCTTACGGCGCTATTACTCGTCACCGCACCAGTCATTGGATATTTGAGAAGTCACTAAACCTATTGCAATCTAGAAAAAAGTCTCCCAACGCGTATTAAAATGTATCCGAATGGAGATTTAGGTGAGAACTAAAGCGGAGCCTGCGTGCAGACAAGGAAGCCTAGTGGACCAGTTGGGCTAAAAAATGGAGGGGGCGGGAGCAGTAGGTACTTATTACGAGCTTTTCCAACTGATCTGCACTACTGATCCCGGAAAACCAGGCGTCAGTTAGAGACAGCGCAGGTGCCCCGATACAAAATAAAAAGCGCCAAATGGATCGATGGACGGACTGTGTTCGAGATCAGTTCAGTTGCTCCTCTGATCCCGACCCTCTTCCTACTTAGGTGATGCAGAATAAACCATGGACAAAAAGTTTAGAAGTTCCATTAGAGACTGCGGTCTGCAACGCGATGGCAGCCCTTAATAGTTTTTGAGCTACTGGCTCGGATTCCAACGCACCCGCGCTAATGGTGGTAAAGTCCCATATAAAGCACTAACCCCTGTTCGTAGGGGTCTGGAAGGAAGAGACGATTCCAAGTAAGCTGGGATGTATCGGCTATGTTGGCAATGTATAAGTAGGACAACCGCACCGACGGTGCTAATCACAGGGTATCAAGCTAACACCGACGGTGACAAAGTAACTAGCCTCAATTCTAGTTCGTCGACGTACTGTGGAACGAATCCCGGATTAGAGAACAACAAGCAGGTTTCCGTCTTGGACGTAGCTGCACAGACTATAAATACACTGTAGCAGGTGCTAGAGCAGGGCCACATGTACCACAGACAGACAATAGCTGCATTCCTCGACTTTAAAAGTGCGTTCGATTCAGTCAATTGGTCAATTCTGTACGAAATACTTGTGCAGTAAGGCGTTCCCATGGAATATAGGAACATTTTACGTGACCTGTACTAGAACACCACAGGCTGTATCAAGATCTACGGTGACTTATGATATATCTTCCCAACAACAAACGCGTTCGTCAGGGCTGCGAAATTTCCCCATTTTTGTTCAACTTCGTCGTGACCACCTTCATGGGATGTTCCCTTGTATTATCGCACGGTACAGGCTGCATAGTGAAAAGCTAGTTGATCTTGAACATGCGGACGATATTTTGTTACTTTTTTTATCGATGTTAGAGCCCAGTTAACCCTGAATAAGTTCTCTAGAGTGGTCCAATCATTTGGCATACGCTGCGCACTTTCAAACTGCAGTGTTGTTGCAAGAACACCAGCCACTTGTTCCACTGACTCTTAATAGCGACGAACTCAAGGTAGTTGATCAACTGCATCAGTGCACGTATTGAAAGAGCACTACATGACCGGCTTCGTTTGTTATCAGGCTGTTCGACTGAGGATTCGTGGTTCACTCGTTTGGCCAGCGACATCTACGGATCGAATTCGAGTTACCACCCTCGCATGAAGTTGGGCATCCCTAGTGCATTCTAACAGGCTCACAAATGTCTAAGTCCCGGGTGTGAGTTTCAATTCCGGTACCTTTACTTGCAATCAACAACGATGGGAGCATATCTACTAAAGTCAGTTCACGTTGCAAAAAGTATAGGTGCCTTCCGTGGCGTCAGAAAGGAGTACCCCTCGGTCTAAAAGGCTGTGTTTACAAGATCACAGCGAAGGATGTCCTATTCCATTGGAGTAAGACTTTGCCCCTTCGGTCAGATGTGCCTCTAACGCGCACCAGTATGTCCGCAACGATTATGTGCGTAGGCGATTGCTGTCAGTGATGTCAAGTCAGTTCGTCAGAACAACAGGTAGCGTTGGCTCGCGCAAGTACTACGTATGATTGGTAACCGCCTACGGAGGAGGACGTTGCTTTATTTGCCAGATATGAGGTGGCGCAAGGCCTGAGGTGGTCAAAAGTTGACTTGGCAGCAGGGAAATGAAGTCACTGATGACCAACTAGGAGCCGTTGGTATGCCTCGCCTTTCAGACCGGAGTTCAGGTGACCCGCCTTTTTCTTGGCTTGAGACGTTACAGAACATGACTCGCAGTTGATACCAGTAGGTTGTCTGCTTTCGTCTCCCAGTCGGGCCGTTTGTTTAATGTGTGTTCGGTGTTGAGTTAACCACGGGGAAATGATTGATTATGAAGCAGAGCAGTGAAAGCCGCAAGGAAGCTATTTCGCAGATGCCACCTTATCTTTGCACGATAGCTAACTGTTTGTGTGACAGATCGTAGGTGCTTTGAATGTTTGCTTGGAGCATTAAGGTTTTACCTTAGGTCCCATTTCTCTTCCTTACTTTTAGTCATCGTTCCGTAGGTAGGCAAGTTGCACGACAATGAAGCATCAGTACAAATGGCTAATGTACTCCTGCTGATAATTATGTTCTGGTCAGCAGGACAGCTGATGGAATGACCTCGATTCGCAAGCTTCGTTGATCTGCGCTCGAGAATGCGCATCCTCCTAGTAAGCGGTGACTGAGGTGCCGATACGAACCGGGCATTGAACTACTCGTATGAATGAAATCCATTAAGGATTCGATTTCTGCACAGTCAGACGTGCACAGAAGAAATGCGGGTGAAAAGCAGAACGGTAAGCAGCACAGATCCGTCAACACCGTGACCATATCAGCAGGCGGTGTTGTGGCATCGATACGTGAAGAGATAGCAAAAGGCTTTAGATAAGGAAGGCCGTAGCCGGTGGCCATTGATTGGTCTTTAAGAAAGGAAGCAAGGAATTCTGTGCATCAATGGGGCAGAGGTGATTTGTGGTGCAACAGCCAGTTAGGTCGAAGCCAGTCAAGGTCACACGGAAACCAGTTAATAAATGAGGAAGGGACATGAGTGAACAAAACGTTCAACTTCCGTCAACATCATCATCGATACACATTAGCTGAGGGTGAGAAATACACCTCAGCTAATGTGCCGCAAGAAGATAAAAGAGTAGACATTACAGACTACAAAAGCAGAAAGAAGTGATATAATGCTAAAATCACGGTATGCATTCGGTAGGAGATCGTTGTTGGAAGGGGAGTTAAAGGGAGAGACAAAGAAATTCTTGCCATGTCAACAAATGTATCCAACCAGACGACTTCATCGTCATTCAGACCCCAAATTCCATCAGGCCTTACACTGTAGTGATGAGCGCTACAAAAAAACAGCCCCGAATCAGTGGTCAGGGAGCGAGAAAAAGAGGGGTCTCGCCTCGCACTTTTGAGGGATTGCAAGACCAAGAAACAAATCTGTGAAACATAAAGACAAAGTGGATGGGGATGGAACACAGAAATCACCAGGAGCCAACCTGATTCTCTTTAAATCGGTCATTTTTGTGTGCTCTCCCAGCTCACGGCGTATCACCTTCTCCAACCCTTCGGCAGGATATGGCCGCTTGCCACAGAATACGGAATCTTTGAATCCAAAAAGCATCCTACGACAGCATCGCAAACACTTCCCTCGCAGCAAAAGCAAAGAGAGAATGCCGCCAGTGGATGTACCTGCAAAAACAAATGAATGTGGACATCATAAAAAGTAAACACTCTGTTGGATAGTATTTTGACGAAAAGAGCACTCATCACTAGGGGTGTTCTTAATATAATCAAAATGAGGTTGGGTCCTTCTCCTATCTACACAAGTATATGAATAGATATAAGCTTGCAAAGAGGTGTGGAATATTCACCAGAACACGACAGCGTAGAACATCGATCGGAATAACAAACTGAGGGACGTATGTACTGTACGTATCAATGCAAGTGTACCGGTCAAGGGTGGAACGAAACACTTGAGCATGAACGTATCACCTGAACAGAGCATATAATTATAATACGCATAAATGGTTCAGAATGAGTTAAACACCAACCAAACCGCACAATTTAGACTAATGAAAAACAACCTACCGAGCCTAAGCGACAGTTGCAATCCAATTGATTGTTTAGGCAGATATTCAAATGAGCTAAAAATATGCATTAGGACAAGCTAACAAACCCACCACCTGAACTAAATGGACTTACCATGCAAGCAAGCGGTTGGCAAATCGAATGCAGCGTGCCTACAAACGCTGCGCCGGTTCTGCCTACGTTCTCTGCAGAACCCGTCGTCATTTCGGTGCTGGCCCCCGAGTGGACTCGCTCATGGCTCCTCAGGCTTGCCTGAATCAGGCACTCGCGGCCGCATATGGTACAGCACCATGCGCTCGCTGTCGATGGAGTAAAACCCATCAGCGCATGTCGCTCTCGCAATTGCCGCATCCCTGCGTGCACGAAGGTTTTCTCTTGCACCTCGGCAACGGTCTTCGTGATTAGATCGCGCCATGTACGCCGATCAACCGCCTTCGATTCCCATGACTTGCACTCAAGATAAGAATGTGGGAGGCTCACCTTGATCATGTCCTGGTAAGGTAATTTTGGTTTTCCCACATGTCGCTTCCCAATACTCAGTTGAGCATTTAATAGTTGTTTCGGTATCCGCGTCGAATCCACACGGCTCACATGACCGAGCCACCTCAGGTGTCACAGCAAAAGTATGCAGTCCACTGCATACATTCCATTTCGGCGCAACACTATCGTGTCCGCGACTCTGTCGTCCCATCCAATGCGCAGAATCCGTCGCAAACACTGCTGATGGAACCGCTTGAGATATCGCACATCTCGCCGGTACATCGTCCACGTTTCGCTGACGTATAGAAGAAACGGCAGTACCATGGATTTGTACGCCATCAGCTTCGTGCCAACGGTATGCTGATGGTTGTTCCACAATCGGTACTCGATCTTCCTGAATGCCGCTGCTGCCTACGCTACGCGGATAGATAGCTCACAGTGTATCTGCTGGTCAGTCGACATCACACTCCAAAGGTAGCAGAAACGGGAGGTGGTTTCCAATGCTTCATCACCGATGCTGATTTGCGACAATATTGAAGACAGCACATCCGGTGAAGGCTGAAAGAGCGACAGTTTTGCTTGTGTTGATGGTGAGCCCGAATTCGGCCGCTGTCTAAGCCAGAGCACTAGTCATGTGCTGCAACTCATCCGCACAATGTGCAAACAACGCATAGTCGTCAGCGAACAGCAGTATACGGATAGTTGTCTCACAGATTAGGGTTCTCGCATTGAAACGACGGAAACCGAACGAACTACCTCTGGCTCCAAAACGATATTCGCTGACACCGCATGGGTTGGCTCAATCAACTTGCCTACCTATGGTTGGCGTTATCTGGTTTTGGATTTGTTTGTCACTGTGGCCAGCCACAGGACGCCTGTGCCTACAGAGGGACCATGGATGGCTTGCGCTGCACCACGCACAGCTCCATCCACACACCCCATATCCAGTGTAAACCCGAAGGAATAAGACCGGGAGGCATGCGGATGGGAGCCATATTTCATCAACGGAGCCGGCCCACACTCCTTCACAGGCAAACACAAGCACGCAGTATTTGGGGAATTAAGTGCACACTAAGGCGGTGGCTGAACCGTAGTCCGCTCCACACTGAGTGCATGGAACCACTCTTCGAGCCTAGCACGACCACAAGGACTGTGCACCCCGTCCCCTCCAGTAACGACCAACTGTCTCCTGGAGCCAGATGGACGAGGTAGTGGATAATAGACAGGTAGGCACCTTGCCTATATATATATATATATATATATATATATATATATATATATATATACAACACATAAGGTAAAGCATGCTGTTAAGGTATTGGTTATGAATATATCTACGGGTGTCTTCACAGTACACAGGACAAAAAACTGGCAGAAGATCTGACAAATCGGCTCACCTACGACCCAGTCGAACAATTCAACGATCCGTTTGCCAGTGGCGCGTTCCAAAGTGCGTAGAGTTTGTACAAGGATTAGACCACGAACTCCGCCTCCGTCCATTGACAACGCACGGTATCCATGAGGGCCACAATTCCATCGGGATCGAATTCTGCGTTTGGAGATAGTCTGCTTCAAAGCACTACGATGGTTGAGACAATTGGTGACGTTGTTTTCCGACTCTGGACTGCTCAACGGCGAGGTGGTCTCGAATTCACTATCTACACTATCTACGTCCGAACACTCCGAGACAGAAGAGGAGGAAGATTTCGGTCCGGATGACACCAACGTAACGGAATCGTGAGTGGGGAGCTGCGTCTGGTCCGAATTCCGATAATGCTCTAGCATTTCATTCAAAAAGGCTTCTTCACAAGCGCAATCTCGTGGGAAGAAATGCAATTTGACTCTGTCGGTAGTCCCTTGGCATGTGTTGTGTGAAGACTGTGAGGAAGAGAATGCGTGGAAGGATGTAGGAAAGATGACGAGAGTAAAGACGATGAAAAAAGCTAATTAAAAAGGTGGGATGGTAAAACATCTGTATAAAAACCGTTTAAGGCATAAATGCTAACCAAGCTCATGCGGTGACCAGTGTTGAAGTGAAATAGAAAAGGTTCGAAATGGACGCAACGACCATGATAGGTCCGATTACTCACCTAATAAAAGCCGACTGTGTTGAATGGCAGTAACTAGCGGTGCGTAAATCAAACTTTGCAAGCGACGCTTGATACTTCATCTCAGTTCACACGTACAACTATAATCCGGGCACCGAAATGCGGTGGATCTAGTTGCCACAAGTCAGGTTACCAGAATAATGATACACAACAACGGTAAGAAAATGGGATTGAATGCTAACAGAGTACAGAGAAAACGGAACTGAGACAGAAGTGTGCAAAAACGGATCAGGACGGAATGAAAATAACCCAGTTAGATGCAAGAAACCGAATGCGGAAACGCCACATTGACTGCGCCATATCTGAAAAGGTCTCTAAATACTGAAGCGGAGCATCCTGAGGCCCTCATCCACGAAGACCAAGTCTCTGTCAATTTCTTTAAGCTTCCATGCCACGCCAAGGACTATCGTCTCGCGGTTTCGCCAACAGCGCAGCAATGGCATGTAATGGCTGCCGAGGAAGGCGGTTAACGATCATACGGAGGACATGACCTAACCAACGTAAGCGGTTGAGCTTTAGCAGACGCTCTAGTGAAGCACTAGGTTTCTTGTCAAACATCCACTGGAAGACTTCAATACTGTTCACCCTGTTTCCCACCAGAAGCGACTACTATGCAGCAAGCACCGATGATGAAGCTTAACCAACCTTTTGTTCTTTTTGCTATGAACTAGTCAGATCGTTGATCCATAAGTAACACCAATCTTATTCGACCGCGACTAAAGTGGACCTTTTCCTTCTTTACGTAGGTATTACGGCCCAATAGCCGAGGTGGGTTCCACCACTAGCTGACGTGTATAATTATGATGATGATGAAACTGGACCTTAACGCGGTGTCTGGGCGACCTTACAGTACCATGCCCACGTAAACCGCAACCATATGGTCAAGTTTCTGAAACAAAGGCTTTGATTGAGGACCCTAACCATTCTAATGTCTGGGTCTGTGCAACATGACAGAATCCTGCCCGTGTAATACAATGAATCGTTTTTGAATGAATTCCTAGATGTGCTTGACGTCGCCGACGATAATCAACGGCGCCCTATCTGCTGCATCGAGCAGGTGGACGGGGATTTGGATGCGACTGCAAAAGCCTTCCCGTCTTCTTATACCCCTCGTGCTTTTTCATCCTTATCGTCCCGTTCCAACCACGTTTATCCCCTCTGTTTTCAAGTCCACCATTATTGGCCCTCCGCCATCTTTGTTCAGTAATCGTTCGTCTTCTAATTTCGACTCACACGAAGTGACAGGGCGCCACTCCGGTCTAGCGGGTAATTTCATATCCAAGCAAACGGACAACATCAGTTCATCTGCTTCCACTGCGAGCCCTCAATTCTCTCTAAGACTGACATGCCTCAATGTGCGCAATTTATTGCAGAGTGGCCAACAAACAGCATTTGCCCGAACAATAGAGACCCTGACAATCGATATTTGCTGCTTATCAGAAACTCGCCTGCAAGATTCGTGTCGTGTATTTATCCTGCGATTTCCAACGTGTGGCACTGGCAGTATTTTCTCATTGCACTTGTCCGGATATGACGCAGCTTTAAATACCAGTCAAGACGGCGTGGACATTGCTCTGATCCCTCGTGCTGAAGCTGTCATGAACAGCCGGATGTGCGCCGTCGGACTGGCTGGCTCGTTCCAGGTTTCGTAGTCGCGCGAGAACAATGCCTGTTTGTCATTGCTGCCTACATCCCCACAAACTAGCACTGATTCGGCGAAAGATGATTTCTATCACCAACTTAACGATATCTATCGTTACAGCAAAATTATAGATACTGTGGTGCCTGCTGTTGATCTGAACGCCCAAGTTAGAAAACAGTCCAGTGACGAGCTGCATCTGAGCGGCCAACACGGTGTAAGTTCCCGTAATGGCAACATTGAGCGGTTGTTACGCCTGTGTGAATATCCTCGTCTATCACTCGCAAGCAGTAACTACTGACATAGCACCCGCAGACGGGTGACAAGACAGCCACAAGCTTCGGACCAGCAATGGCCACCGCGATCAATCACCGTTGGAGAGGCCCCGTCCATACACTATCGCTCGGGTTGGAGCACCAGGGTGGACTCCTACCACGCACTTGTTTGTGCCGACCGGTGGGTGCATTTCGGCGGACTTCTGCAACGACGCTGTGAATGTATGGATGTCAGCCAACTAGCGAAGCCAGGTGTGCTGAATGTATAGCAGTGTGTTGGCATGCGGGTTGAGTAGGTGCTCAGTGAACACAACTGAAGATCGCTGGTTGTATATTTTGCAGACGCGAATGGAAACAGGCGTGCCTTTAAGTGGTAAATCTGATTTCAGACCTTGACAATGGGTCTCTATGCAGTCCCCGGAAATTCTGAATGCTCGCCGACATATTCCAGCTGCTAACGAACAAAACAAAACTCGCAAATACCTCAGGCTGAAATTGCGTGTTAGTCTAAAGAGAAATCGAAAAACCTGGCGGTTTCACCGTGTATCGGAGATATATTTGCAACAGTCTATGAATAGACACAGAGCCATCAGAGACCATGGAACACAAAAGAAGATACAGCAATTGTAAAAGAAAACACAACACATTAAAGTGTATCGGAGATGGAGACAGTCGTGGCCCTTGGTAACCGTCTGATACGGAAAAAAAGCAGCAGAAGACTTCGCGTTAGCGAGGCTACGTGCGACGACAGCGGACAAGCAATCACTAACTTGTCAAGACGCTTAAGTGCGTTAGACTGAACACCTCGAAAAACAGTTTAATCAAACAGAGTTGTCATCTTTTAAGTGGACACTGATCGTTCTTATCCCGCGGCCGTCCAGTTGGATTTGTCCTCATACGCAGATAGAACGTGAGGTCATACCATTGTAAGTCAATAAGCCCTTTAGAGAAGTAACTTCCTTTAGCCCTTCGCAAACTCGGGAGACCTGATCACTTGGATGATCTGTGAAGCTGTGTGAGCAGGAGACTGTCCCAACAGAGTGAAGCCGCTCCGTCATAGTCCCAATGTTCAAGGGCGGCTCACGTTCGGAATGCGGTAAGAATATAGAGACCAGTCAGATCCCCATCGACTTTGTTACAAGGCTCTGACACCATAAAAGCCAGGTTCGAGAGGAGCAAGCCGGGTTTCGACGAAGTCGGGGTTGTATTGATCACATCATCACGTTACGTCAGTTGTTCGAACATCGCTATAATGAACGACGACCCATCGTAATTGTGTTTCTTGACATAAAACGTGCCTTCAATTCGACGGATCGATGTACCCCTTGGGAGTGTCCGCTAAGTAAAGGTATGCCCGAGAAATATGTAAATGTCATGAAAACGCTGTGAACTTAGAACACGACCAAACCAACGCAACCTGTTCAATCTTGTTTTTGGTTCGAGAAGACTGGCTTGATGTTATAATGTGGGTAAGAAAACTCCATCACTCCCCGTTGTTTTGTGAGTTTGCCTCACTCACCCATATTAATCGCGCCCTCTTTTGCGGTTCCCCGCATACGTATTTCTGTCTGCCTCACATTTGTGATTGGCTTGTATTGATACTGAATCTTATGCTTATTCGTTTTTCTCATACTCTGTGTATTTTGTCCGATCGTGAGGCACCGTATCGATCCTTCGCATTTGAACTGACCAGCTTTGATTGACTGAATGTCAGCCATTGTGGACAGCCTGTCTATATGTCCTAATTTGAATTATTCGGTTGATTCGAACTCACGGACGATTGGCTGCCGGCTCGGCTCGCAGCGATTAACACTGTATTGTACACGGATTGCCGTTCGTGTTCTCATTCCCGTTAGTGAGTGAAAACAGTCGTGGGATCGATACAATAGTTGATTATCACCGCCTAGTACTCATCTGTGCATATCAACATTGCGGATCCGCCGATGCCATCCGTAGTCAGCAGTGCTTCGCAATCAACAAGGATCAAAGAGTTGAAAGAGCTTTGGATCTTCAAATCGAAGGAACCAAGTCTCTCTTATAGAGGAGGACAGCCCTAACTGTGACCTTGTAACCACGGTCTCTAAGACCGAGGGAAACGCCTGACCCCACAGATGTCGCAAATCTAAGAAGACGATTCTAGCTTTTGCAATACGTGGACTGACTTTAGTGGCAATGCGCCTATGGCCGTTGGTAAATGAATAGGTTAATTATGTGGAGCATCACACTATCAAAAGTCAAGCGTCTGGTAAACTTTGTATCTTGGTGTGAAGCGCACGTCAAATAATTGGATCACTCTGGACGCTATTCAGGGTTGACTCAGTTACCCAAATGCGTTAAACAAGACAATATTGTGTTTATAATCAAGATCAGCAATGTTTTTAGCAGTCAGACACTCAACATCATCGCGAGATTCCGAGTAAGAACACTCTATAATGGAGTCCATGATGAATTCGAAGGAAAATAGGGAAGACAGACAGCTCTGACGAACGCCGGTTGTTGTCGGAAAGATATGTGATAGGTCACGACCTGTGGTGTTCGCATATCTCATGAGAACACCTTTTCGTACAAGTATTTCGAACAAAATGGATCGATTGACTGAGTGTAACGAACTCCTGAAATAGAGGAACACAATTATTGTCGGTCTGCGGTAGGTGTGACGCTGCTCTAGCACCTGCAGCAGAGTAAATACGTGGGCTATACAGCCCCGTCCAGGGCGGAAACGTGCCTGCACTTTCCTAATCCGGGATTCCTGTCCAGCAGTGAGGCGACGAACGAGAATTGAAGCCAGTAATTTGGTCCCCACTGGTGTTAGGCTAGTATCCTGTGGTTAGTACTATCGATGCGAATGTCCCCTTTAT